GCAGTGGAGGCGGGGGGCGCAGGAGGCGGTGGCAGCACACCGTCAGCAAAATGGGAAGGATGAGGACGAGGAGGATGGGGAGGAGTTGGAGGAGGAGAATGTGTAGGAGGATTTGGGCGTGGAGGTGGATCCTGCTCGCGGCTTCCGCGCATTCCCCGCGGTTTTTCGCCGGGACACTGCAGCGTGGAATCCCCATTCCACGCTGCTGCCTTTGATTGTTCTCTCTCTCTCTCTCTCTCGCTCTCTTCGTGTGTATATATATATGTATATATATATATATATACAGAGACCGATACGCATACATACCTACATTTCTTATGGTGTCCGCTATCTACTTACGCAAGTCATTGTTTCACCTAGCACATCCTCCCCCACCTCCTCCCTTCCTTCTTCGATCTCCGTAACCTCATCGTCCTCCTCCTCCCTCCTCATGATCCCTTATGGTTATACTCCTGTGTGCATCTTCATTCCCCACGTCCTGAGTGAGGATACAGTCAGCCAGAATTGTAAGGATGGGCAACCTTCCCAAGGGTACCCTTGCATCCTTGCCCCTTCGGCCCATCCTTAGCGACGTTCGCTGGTCAGCCTCGTTCGAAAAGCGTTCACATGGGCCTCCAAGGCCCTTGCATCCTTATCGCGCATCCTTATGATACGGGTCGACTGTATTGTTGGTTCCGGACATCCTGAGAGCGGGTTGCTGTTTCCCCTGAGCGCCATATCCTTCCCTCCTCCGTCCGTGTCCTCTTCCTCCTCCGCCTCCTCCTGTTTCTCCTCCTCTTTCTCCCCATGGCAATACGATGTGATGTATCAGTTTTCGCGCCCCCCCTCCCTTCGCCAGCATCGCCAGGGCCATCTGGCTCGCCAGGGAGGCCCCGCCATACCGCAGCAGATCTCGGAGCACATTGTGCCTTTCTCAGGTTTCGCGCCCTCTCCACTCCACCAGCCTCCCCAGTGCGACCCGGCCCTCCAGGAAGGCCCCGCCAGACCGCGGCAGGCGTCGGAGCACAGTGTTATGGGAAGTTGGCTCCCTGCCCTCCCCACTCCACCAGCCTCGCCAGTGCCACCTGGCCCTCTAGGGAGGCCCCTGCCAGACCGCGGCAGGCATCGGATCATCGTGTTCTTTTTCAGGCTCGGCGCCCTCCCTACTCCAGCAGCCTCACCAGAACTACCTGGCCCTCCAGGGATGCGGCGGAGGAGTGCGAATGGGGGAAACGAGTGAGGAGGACCGTAGCGCGCAGGATGGGTGATGCAGAGCTGCAGAAGGAAGAAACAGCACGACGGCACATTCGGCATGCGGACGAGGGGTGCAGGAGTGCGGCAACGGAGGAAGTTCAGGAACAGGGGTACACCTTAGGCGATGCTTAAGAAAACTTAAATTTTCGGCCAGAGTCTCGATTATTCTTAATGTTTCAATGTAAATCCTAAGATTTCAATCGAAATCCTAAGTCTTTACTCAAATTCTGAGACTATGAATTTCTTAACCCATGATTTCTTAAGCATTTCGCAGGGTGTAGACGAATTAGGAGTTCAAAGAGAGGGTGGAATGTTGCTTCCAGAATTCGCGGCGTTCCATTTGTTGTTGCTGCCGTGCCCCCTAGCCCTCGTGCAGGGAGTTCCGAAACAATAGTTCAAGACACGCCACACTTCAAACGTCGACATGTTCCGGGATCTGTGTCACGATTCCCCTTTTTCCGGTGCTTCAAACCAAGTGCTCCAGCTGCAGCGTGCGCCTCATGTTAGGATCGGCGCTCTGCTCCCGTCGTCCAGACCGGTGCTCCCGCCCTTGCGCGGGACACTCTTCTGGGCCCGAGTCCCTCCTCATCGTGGTCTCCCCGCTCCTTTCCCCTCCTCCGCCTTCCCTTGGTCTTCCTCCTCCTTCCGCTCCTGCTCCTGCTGCTGCTGTTCATCCTCATCCGCCTCCTTCCTCATCCGCATCCTTTCCCCCTGCTCATCCTCTTGCTCATCCGTGACCTCCTCCTCCTCCTCCTCCTCCTCCTCGTCCTCCTCCTCCTCGTCCTCCTCCTCCTCTTCCTCCTCCTCCTCCAGTTTGAGGACGCTCCGCCTCCTCCTCCTCCAGCGTGCACAGCTTCCCTCTCCAGACTGCGCATAACACAATGGTGTCCGTTTCGGGGTTGCAGGTGCGCTATGACCACGCCCGCGATATAGAGAAAACATCGGCGCAATGGGAAGGGACGGGTGGGAGGAGTAGGGCGCGATCGCACCCAGCTTGTCTCCCCCCTCCCCCCAGATATCCGGCGATATGACTTTTCAATCAACGGCCCCAGAGGTCCCGACCCCTTCCCCTGGAGTGGCTTCCGTTCCGGATCCACTTCTGATGGCCCCTGGCCCCGATAACGGGCCCCAGAGGCCGAAATCCTAGGAGCACATGCCAGGTAAAAAAATCAGATCCTCGGATCTCTGGGCCTCAGCCCCCTCCGAAGACACAAAAACCTTTTCTTCAGAAGGCCAGGGCGTTTCTGAAAAGCCCCGCCGCCTTCTGAGAAGGCCCTCTTCTTCTCACTTCCCCCCGAATCTAGGTTGCCTTGCCCCCCCTGAAATTGCCTCTTCTGGTAATTCGCCTTGCACCGAAGCCCCCGAAGCAGATGGGCTGGAGCCCTACGCGCCGCCGCGCTGGTCCTGGGCAGGCTGCGCTGCCTGACTGCGCCCCCCTCCCACCGCCCTCCCGCTCTCGCCTCCGCCCCCTCCCCCCGCCCTCACGCCCTCGCGCCCTTCTGGCCCTCCCGCCCTTCCGGCCCCTCCTCCCGCCATCCCGCCCTTCCGGCCCCTCCTCCCGCCATCCCGCCCTTCCGGCCCCCCGCCCTCCTCTCCTCGGCTCCCTCCCCCCGCCCACCCGAGTCTTCCATCCCTCACGTGCCGGCCAGCACGAAAGAAGCATGACCGAGAAGGGTAGCGATGCTTCTCTTCACTCCCGCCCTCCCTCCCCCCCCGCCCCCCTCAGTCCCAGGCATCCGCGGATATGACTTGTCCAGTCCGCGGCCCCAGAGGTCCCGACCCCTTCTCCGGGAGTGGTCTCTCGCCCCGGATCCGTTCATGACGGCCTCCGGGCCCGGCGGCGGGCCCCGGCGGCCGAAAGCCAGGAAAAAAGCCGCTGGATCGAGCAGATCACATCCTCGAATACCACGGGGCCCTCTTCCCCCCCCTCCTCCTCCTCCTCCTCCTCCTCCTCCTCCTCCCCCCCTCTCTCCTCCTCCTCCTCCTCCTCCTCCTCCACTCCCTCCTCCTCCTCCTCCTCCTCCCCCTCCTCCTCTCCTCCTCCTCCTCCTCCTCCTCCCCCTCCTCCTTCTCCCCTCCTCCTCCTCCTCCTCCTCCTCCTCCTCCTCCTCCTCCTCCTCCTCCTCCTCCTCCTCCCCTCCTCTCCGTAGCCATTTTGGCTCAAGTCCGTAGTGTTTCACTCAAGGACTGAGTTTTTGGCGTGGGGGAGCAGCGGCCCCCGAAGGCTCTCGTACCTCCTCTCTGCCTGCCCTGGCTGGAGGTACCTCTTCTTTCACGTGCTACTTCGGGAACGTACGCTCCCATTAGCAGTCACTTGTTACATCACCTTGCTGCCGCGGATGTCTCAGGGAGATGGACGGGCACAGAAGACGAGCACGCATGCCCAGAGACGTCGGGCGGAGGCGACGGATTGGGTTTGTCGATGGTGCGTCCACCCAGTGTCGGGCGCGGCATGGTGGAACAGATCGGATAAAGTTTCATGTCAGAAGTGTGGAGTTGCCAAGGCCTCTTCCTTTCTGGAGCCTCGGTTCAAGCACACGGCGCCTTCACAGAAGCAGCAGCGTGCCGATCGAGCGGCCACTGCTGAGCAGCCGCCGCCATGGCATGCACGCAAGGTCGCAGAACTGGAGAAGCAGCTGGCGGCAGCGCGGCAGCAGCTGGCCACCGGAGGGAAGTCGGAGAGTAACGCGATGGAGGTCGACGTCGAGAGTGGAGAGCAGCCGCCGCAGACCCCCGCTCAGATCCGTGTTCGACTGGACGAGATCGAAGAGGCCATGCGGGCAATCAAGGACCTCAAGGACCCCTGCTTCGAGAAGGCCAGGGAGGACTACGAGGTGGAGCGCAAGCGGCTGCGGATGGACTTGGAGGCGTCCAAGCCAGTGCCTGCGCAGCTGCGTTCTTTGTCATTCCAGTCGGCCAAGTGGAACACCAAGAAGGTCAAGCACGAGGGCCTGCTGGCGGCCGCCAAGAAGGAGTTGCAGAAGCTGCAGGAGACCATCCGCGAGCAGGAGCAGCTGGTGGTCGAGGCAGAGCAGGCTATATTACAGATTGCAGAGGAACAAACCAGGCTGGCGTCTACGGTTCCGAGGCCTCCACCGTCCGCTACCGAGGCAGGCGAGCTTGTGGCAGCCCTCGGCATCACGGTCGACAAACTGGGAGGCATCTTGGCAGGACTCGGAGACGACGGTCACTTGCAAGCGAAGTTGGACTCGGCCTTGGAAGAGGCACGGGTACTGGAGGAGCGCAGGAGACAGGGGCGGACGACACCCGAGGCAGCTCAGCATGCGAACTCTGAGCCGCAGCGGGAGGCCGCCCCCCACGACGATGCCAGGTCTCAGCCTGGAGGAGTCGACGTACCAACACCAGACGACACGGACCTGGAGGAGCTGCGTGCCTTCCTGGGGCGCGCTGGTGTTGCTGTGCAGCCTGAGGCCGACGAGGCAACGATCCGTGGGAGCGTTCGCAGGCTGGCCGAAGGGCTCAATGAATGGAGAAGTGAGAAGCGTGCCAAGGTCCAGGTCCCCGCCTAGAGAGGGACGGCCTTCGGCGCGCACACGACGCGGCTCGGCACACCTCGCGGCACGCACTCTGGTCGTATGCTTGTTGGGCCTGGTTCGTACTGTGAGTGCTATGCCGTCGCTGGGCACGGTAGCAGGGTCGCTTGCTGCGAATCCGATGTTCCAGGAGCCTGGCGGCAGTGGGGCTTATGTCGAGGCGGCCAGGGCGCGCTGCCTGGGTCGGAGCGGCGGCGGCAGTGCCGAGGGCCGCGGCAATGGACGCGGAGGACGAGCCGCGGACGCGCGGGTGGCCGATGCCTCGTCCCACGTCCGACCTCCTGCTCGAGACGTCGACGGACGTAGCGCCCCGAGCGGGAAGGTAGCCGCGGCCCAGGTGAGTCCGCAGCCGCTCGACTCCAGGCCCAGACAAGATGCTGCACGCGGCGGGCCAAGCCATGGAGCTGGAGGCAAAGCGGCCGTAGGCCGTGGCGAGGGGCGAGCTAAGCGAGCCGCGGACGCGCGGGTGGTCGATGCCTCGCATCTCGCCCCTGGGCTCACTCGGGCCGTCGACGGACGGAGCGCAGCCCCGAGTGGGGCCCTGGCCACGGTGCAGGCTGGTGCTGACGGCGAGCACTGCCTGGGTCGGAGCGGCGGTGGCAGCGCCAAGGGCCGTGGCAAGGGACGGGGAGGACGAGCCGCGGACGCGCGGGTGGCCGATGCCTCGTCCCACGTCCAACCTCCCGCTCGAGACGTCGACGGACGTAGCGCCCCGAGCGGGAGGGCTGCCGCGGCCCAGGCGTGTCCGCAGCCGCTCGACTCCAGGCCCAGACGTGGTGCTGCGCAGGATGGGCCAGGCCATGGCGAGGGAGGCCTAGCGGCCCAAGGCAGTGGCAAGGGGCGTGATAGGCGAGCCGCGGACGCGCGGGTGGTCGATGCCTCGCCTCACGCCCCTTGGCCCACTCGGGCCGTCGACGGACGGAGCGCAGCCCCGAGTGGGACCGTGGCCACAGAGCAGGCTGGCAACAAGGGCAGCATCGCGACGTTGAATTGCTCGTCCGAGAAGCAGCTGCTTGAGTACATGGTGCACTGCAGTCACACAGTGGTCGCGGTGCAAGAACATCACGTTGCTCATGGTGATCTGGCGGACGCACATCATCGCTTGCTGGATGCGGGCTGGCAGGGCATATGGGCAGCGGCCAACCCCACAGGCAACGGTGGCACGCAGGCAGGGCTAGCAGTTTTGGCGAGGCCGAACGTCCTGATCACGCGTGGGCCGTGCCTGAACGGTCAGACCGTACTGGCTGGCGGTCGAGCTTTACCCGCTCAAGTCCACTGGGGAGTTCCTGGTGGAGTGGTGCTGGTCTCATTGTATCTTTATGTCAACGAAGGTTGGTCTGACAATAACCTACACATCATGCAAGAGTTCAGCAGCAATTTGGAAAGATTGAATCATGCAGGCTACGATTGGATTGTGGCAGGAGATTTCAACATTGAAGCGTCCCAGTTCGGTGATATGCGGTGGCTACACGGGCTAGGTGGTATGCTTCGGGCTCCAGCTGCGACCACATGTAGACAGGCGATGCCTGGTAGTTGCATCGACCATTTCCTCACGTCGTCTAACTTGATGACACGAGTAGAGCAGCCGCGCGTTCAGGAGGCGACAACCACCTTCCCACACTTGCCAGTGTACATGCATACCAGTGGCAAGGACATCCAGTTGTTTCATCGTGAGCTGCGTGGGCCGCGTTCCGTGCCCAAGCAGCCGAAACCAGGCTGTTCGAGGTTTCCACTATGCTGGCATGGAGTGGCACGTATTATAGATGCCGCGTGTAACGATAGCAGTTTGCAAGTGGCATGGGATGCTGTGTTGAGCCAAATTGAATTAGAGCTGCTTGCCAGGCATGACGCCGTTGGCACCAAGGCCGAGCCGTTCGTAGGTGCACGTGGCCCCGTTGAGTTCGAGAAGGTCAAGCTGCAGTAGCAACCACAGCAGAAACGCTCATACTTGTCAAAAGCAGCCAATGCGTGGTGCGTCGCGGCCAGGTGGGCACGACACATGCGTAGGGCGAAAGAGGCTATCACTAGTGTCACGGTGAAGGTAAGTCAGCAGCATGTGGCACGCACGTCGGACATGGCCCATTTTCACAAGCTGTCGAGCTTGATGATCGAGCTAGGCCGCTTCGTGGCTAAGGTGCTGTCTGAGACGGCCGTGCTCAGCGAGCTCGACAGCTGGGCGTCAGATTTTTTCTCTTGGGAATGGAGTTCCTCGTACATCCAGAAGTTGATGCAGTGCTGGATGCAATCGAGGCCAAAGCAGCGGAGCTTGCTGAGGCACACAGCCAGAAGGCTGCCAAAGCCTGGAGGGACTGGGCGGCAGCCAGCTTCTTTAACGGTGCGCGCTTCGCGCATAGGCACACGAAAGGGAGAGCGTTGCAGGAGGTGGTTAGTGCAAACGTGACCGCTCGCACGCCTGCCCAGCCGTATCAGTTAGCCGACAAGGCCATGAGGGATTGGGAGGAGATCTGGTCGATGCACGACGCCGCCGCCCCACAGCTGCCAGCCGAAGCGAAGGACTGGGAAGAGCTCCCGCCTTTGACTGTGCAGGACTTGCAGCGATCCATTCTTCAGTTTCCATGGGCGACGGGAGTCGGCCAGTTCAGCTTTGCTCCCCGCAGTTTAATTTTTCTGAGCAGTTCAGGCCTGGCGGCCTTAGCGAAGCTTTTCATGAAGTGTGAAAGTCTCTTGATCTGGACATCCCGCAGACTGCTGACGCAGCTTGTTCGCCTCCCCAAGGCGTCGGGAGGATGTAGGTTGATCGCGCTCTTGAACACGCTTCTGAGAGCCTGGGGCAGAGCCCGCAGGCCCATTGCGGCCGCCTGGGAGGTGGAGAATGACCTCGATTGCTTCTGGGGGACGGGAGCTGGTAGGTCGAGCTCGGATAGCGCGTTTTCATTGAATCTAGAAGCTGAGATTGCGCACGAGTTAGGAGAGGACAGCCTCACAGTTTTTATCGATATGTTGAAATGCTATGAGACTGTCATTTTGCAGAGCTTGCTCCACGAGGCTAGGCTGAATCGGTTCCCGATGAGATTAGCTTGGATGACGATTCAGACGTATCTGCAACCTCGCTGCCTGCGTGCATTTGCCTCCCTGTCTTTTCCAGTGCAGTCTAACCCGGGTATCCTAGCAGGCTGTTCATTGGCCACTACAACGCTACGGGTTCTGTCGCATAGAAGCCTGCAGGATTGCATGACTATATACCCCACGGTCAAGCCACGAGCGCTGATCGACGATGTGAGCTTCCACTGGTCTGGCGAGCGAACCAGGGAGGGAGAGAGCGACGGTCAGGCTAGAGACTTGGCCAATGCAGTACACAGTTTTTGCCTCAGCGTGAGACCGCTCGGGTTAGTTGTCCGGCCGAGCAAGTCAGGATTTGTTGCGAACACGAGCCGAGGCCGAGATAGATTCGCTCGATTGGTGATGCCTCTTCGTATGAGAGCGAAGCGAGCGATGCGCAATCTAGGTCACGAGATGCACGGCACTAGAGTTTTGCGTGTGCAAGAAAAGATGCGTCTTAAGAATCGCAAGGCTCGTGGGCGCAAAGTGTGGGGATTGAAGCACGCCGCGGGGGAGGCCGTGAAATCCTTGGAGGACGGGGCTCCTCCCAGCTGGCGGCCACGGCGCTGGAGTGTCAGGGATATCTGACACGGCGATTCGAGAGCTTCGGACGTTTGCTGGAGGCATGTGCGGGGCCAAGCCCAAGGCGTCGCTCACCCTGTTTTTAGCAACGCAGCGAGACGACAGGTTCGACCCTATTTTTGATGCGACGGTTCCTTTGGTGGTTAGGTTTGCCTCGTTCATCTGGGACAATAGGGTCGCGCCTGGACGGCTCCGTAGAGCTTGGGAGGCGGTCAGGGCGAAGCTTGACCAACGCACCTCGTGGACCAGAGCTCGTGGCCCCATCGCCTCTGTTTGGGTCACGCTGCTGCGTGTGGGTTGGACGATGTTTTCTCCAACAGTGCTTGTGGAAGATCGAGGTCGCCACGTCGATTTAGTTAGGCATTGTCCAGGTGATGTGAAAGCCTTCCTGGAGGAAAGCCTTCGCCGCTGGCAAGTAGATAGGATCCTGCAGCACCTTCCCAACAGCCTTGGGGGGAGCTGCTGGAGGAGGCGAATGAGAAAAGCAGTACTTGCGGTAAGAGATGTTGCGAGGCGAGGCGCCTTGCGCACGCGTTGGTCGGCTGGTGTTTGGACCCCCGAGCGTTTGCACAGCATCGGCCTCCGCAGTTCCCCGCAGTGTTTTGTATGCAAGCAGGCGACTGGCAACGAGTCTCACCAATGGTTTGAGTGCGAAGCCATGTTAGACGGGTTGGACGTGCCTGTTCCAGATTATGTCCTCGAGCTGAGGAAGGCCATCAAGGCCAAGAATAATTCGCAATCTGGAGCGGATCAATTTTATCTCAGTTTCGGTTTGCCGCCCGAGCCACCAGCGCTGTCGCCCCCGAGCGACGTGCATCCTGTGTTGGGATGGGGGGACTGGCGTGGGCGATGGGGGCGGAGGGTGTACACCGACGGAAGCGGCCAAGCGTCGTCGATCCCAGAGCTGGCCCGCTGCGGCTGGTCTGTGGTGGAGGTCGACGAGGCTGGCAACGTTTTGCGTGCAATTTTTGGCGCGCTACCAGGAGCGGTACAGACGGCGCCACGTGCGGAGCACTACGCAGCGCTCAAAGCAGTTGAAGTTGCGCAGCAGCCTGCAATCGTAGTGTCTGATCACCTGAATCTTGTGCGTGAGGGGTGTGCCTGGTCGGAGGCCGCTGCCTCCTCTGGCGGCCGTCACGCGGCTGTGTGGGAAAAAATACGTCGGCACTGTCCTGAGGCTCCTCCCACCTTCGAGTGGGTCCCTGCGCACAGAGAGCTCTCGGAGGTTTTGGAGGCCCCAGATTGCGATTTTGTCCGTTTCGTCGCTAACGAGTGGGCTGACTTCTTCGCCAAGCGCGGGGCCCAGGTGCATTCTACTGGCCAGACCATGCAGGATTATTATAAGCAAGCCATGAAGGCGGCCAAAGACCATTCGCAGGTCTTTGCTTGGATGGCCCAAGCGGTCGCCAAAAAGAATGTTGAGCTCCAACCTAGGGAAGTTGTGCCGTCTCAGGTTTGTCGTGATGGCGCCGCCCCGTTGGTTGTGCTAGATTCGCATGAGTTTCGTTTTTGTGAGAGGCTATCTGAATACAGGTGCCAGAATTGCAACAGGTTCGCGCGGGCGACCGATTCCTTGAAGGCCCTTCGAGCGAAGCGATGCGAGCCCACGGATCTTCAGAGAGCGATGGCGACGCGTTATTTTGCCCTCACCCCCGAATGCTATCGGCACGCCTCACGTGCGGTGGACGCCGCCGTGCGTGCTGCTGGCCTTGACGAAGGCCTAGGGCCCTCTGGAGGCCCTCGTGAGGGTGGGGGAGTGGGGGCTGACGTCGTCGCCGTCGGGGTCGATCGGGAGGTGGAATTGTACTCGGAACTCGGCCACGGTGTGGAGCGTTTTGGCTCCACGGTCATCTGCCTCTGCTGCGGGGCGTTTAGTGTGGCTGGAGGCCGCAACCGCAAGCTGCGTGCCCAGTGCAAGGGACATTCGGACGTAGCTTCCACTCGTGCGAAAGAGGAGATGCAGATCTCACGTGCGTTGCGAGGGCTGCACCCCAGGTCGGGGGACCCTTGCCCATGACGACCTCGACGCCAGGTCTCCTCCGTCGGCACTCCGACGAGGTGGGGACGGCGCTGTCGAGGTCAAGCGGCACGGTGCGATGGCTCGAAGCCTCGCCGTGCGGCTCATCACTTTCAACCCGCTGAAGCGGGTCCGTACGCTCGGACTCGCTTTTCATCGCTCGCTACCTCCTCCCCCTCCTCCTCCTCCTCCTCCTCCTCCTCCTCCTCCTCCTCCTCCTCCTCCTCCTCCTCCTCCTCCCCTGCCCTCAGCCGCCTCCGCGCCCGCCCGCCGCGGCGCCCTCGCGCCCTCGAGGGGGGCAGGCTTCGCGAAGGAGAGCCGGCGCATCGGCGCCTCGTCGCCGACCCGCCGGCAGGTGTACTTCGCGCAGGCGCAGGCGGGGCGGCCGCTCCCGGGGGCGGGAGGGCGGGGGGGGGGGCAGGGAGGCCCTTGGGAGGGAGGGGGGGGGAGGGGAGGGGAGGGAGGGGGGAGGGAGGGAGGGAGGGAGGGAGGGGGGAGGGAGGGGGGGAGGGCCCAGGGCGGGAGGGGAGGGGGGAGGGAGGGGGGGCTGGGAGGGAGGGGAGGAGGGGACAGGGAGGGGGGGAGGAGGGAGGAGGGAGGGTAGGCAGGTAGGACGCTGACTTTGGACTGCCGTCCGTGTTCTGCTCGATGGGGGGGGGAGGGAGGGAGGGACGGAGGGAGGGGGGAGGGGGGAGGAAGGGAGGGAGGGAGTCAGAAGGGAAACAAACCACACAGACACATACAAGATCGTTGATCCCCCAGAAAATGCGGATCCTATGGCAAGTGGAGGGGAGGGCGAAAGTCCAGAACATGTGGAAATATAGTAGGGACCCTGAGATTAGTGTCTATCTGTTTGTGTGTCCTTTGGCCCTTCCAGGGACAGGGGTGGCAGGCAGGGAGGGAGGGCCCTGCTGCCGCCGGCGTGCTGGTTCGGGACGCCTTCTCCCCTCCCCCGCCCCCCCCCGCCCCTTCTCACGTCCCCCCCCCCCCCCTCGCTCGCCGCCGAGTAGAGGCACCCGATACCGCTGCTCCTGCTGCTCGTGCTGGATTATCCTCGAAGTTCTGGTCAGGACGCACCCCGGCAGAGGTCCCGGCTGCGGCGTCGGTATCCTTTCGCCTCCCCCCTTTTCCATCGCCATGGGGGAAGCGGGTCCCGAGGGAAACGAGTCCTGAGGTTCTCCAGCGTTTTTTCGGGCCTCCCGCGGCCCTCCAAGGGTCCCAGGGCTGTCAGACACCGGCGCAGGATGGCGATCTCGTCTTGGGGAAAGGCCCCGGGGCCCAGGGCCCGTTTCCCTCAGGATTCGTTTCCCCCATGCTATGAGGGAAGGCCCTGCTGACGCTGGCGTGCTGGCTTGGGACGCCTTCTCCCCCGGACAGAGGGGAGGAAGGGAGGGAGGGAGAGGGAGAGAGGGAGGGAGGGAGGGATAGACGGGGAGGCTTTGATTTTACCTCCACGATTCATGACCCCTTGAGTGTCACCTCCTTGCGCCTGGGCCACCTCGAACACGACATGGCGTTGAAGCGTGCTAACTTATCAATACCGACTCCGTCCTTAAGATGATGTCGTGCCGTTGTGATTCGCGTGACGCTGTCTAGCAAGACTTGCGTGTATTGTAGTGAAGGCCAATTGCCCAATGTGAATTTTGCCAGGCGCGGCGCCTCTGAGTTTGACTCACTCTCTACGGATCATGCACCAACCTGGCTTCGTATTCTAGGAGCGCTCCTCAAATGCCTTGGCCAAGCTCAGCTCAATCCATCTCCGCACATATTCCGGATTTCGCAATAAAAGGGTGGTGGCCTGATTTGGGGGGGGGCTGATTTGAGCTCTCCCGGTGGGGTCCACAGTAGTTCTGGGCGAAAGGCCGCTTTTTCATGGCTGGCCCACTTTTCTCGCAGAGTATGGCGTATGCAATCGGGAGAACCCCCCCCCCACACAGGACGCCCTCCGGGCGACATTGGCGCCCGCCTCGTGCTGCACCCCCGCGCCGCCAGAGGTCCAGAGATTTAACTTCGAGACCGGCGACGTCATCGCCGTGTTGGCGAGGCCGCCGAAGGCCGGCGCCCGGCTGCCCCGCGCGCTGGCCTGGGCACGCCCTGCGGCGGGGGGGAGGTCGGCGGGCGACGCTGGGCCCAGTTGGAGCAGGCCCAGTCGGGACCGATCCCAGACATGATCGTGTCTATGAGCATCGGGGCTGGACAGAACCCCCAACAGTGACACGTCGATTAGTGAATTGTCCGTTTTCGGTTTTCGAGAGGGCGCCGTGGCCGTTATTTTCCAGCATTGCGCCCGCCAGGTTTGGGCCCGAAGTCGTTTTCATTAAACCACGTTTTGCTAAAGGGAGGTCTGTCCATCCCCGATGAGCAGCAATCAAGACGAACAGCCTGTTCACTGTCTTCCGCCCCTGGGGACCCTCAGGATGAAGAACCAGTCCCAGGAAGAGGGTCGGGATGTCTGAGGACGCCGCACCGAAGAAATCAAGACGTCGCAGGTCTGGGATGTGCCCCGCCTGGTGTGCCTCCGACTGGGCTTGGCCCCTCCGCGGGCGATGCAGGGTCCAGCTGGAGCGGGTCCAGTCGGAGCCGACGCGCCCCACCTGGTGTGCCGTGTGCCTCCGACTGGGCTTGGCCCCTCAGAGCAGGGCGATGCTGGGTCTTGTGATCTGGTGGCCCTCCGACTGGGCTCAGCCCTTCCCGAGGGAGGAGGCCTCTCTCCGTCGACCGACTTCCGCTGCCTCGCTGCCGCCTCCCCCCTCAGAAAGGACCGGAGGATCTTCAGAGGTTGTGAATCGGCGGCGAGCTTCGAGGTTTGAGCTGTAAAGTTCGAGGTTCGAGGTTCGAGGCGGTTCTTTATCGTTTTCGGCGTCTGTCGGAAACTGGAAAATAGCCGCAGGAAGTCATTAAGAACCCCCACGAGGTTATGAGTAGCACAGCACTCATATTCATCAAGTCCAGGGGGGGACTTTAGCCGAACGACCACTTTAGCACTGCGCCAAACAGCAAACACATAGTAATTACCCACCTCCCCCCCGCAACCGACATCTACTCTGAGGACTGGCGGCAAGAACGCAGGACCTTGACATTCGCTTCGACAGAGTAAGAAGTAATAGTAACCGTAAGAGTAATAGTTAGTCGTGGTTACAGTGGGAGTAATAGGAATAGTAGTGAAACTTTGTAGTACTACTCATTTGTTGTTTCTTTCACATTTCTGTCCTGTACGATTCCTATTGCAGAACCCAATGATAAATCTATGTTAATCGGGCATCTTCGGCGGTGGTCCACCCCAGGGTATCGCCTCCGGCCCGCACGCAGCGTTATCTTAGCACCGCCGTACGGCGAAACAAATTGTGCCCCGTCTGCGAGTAGTCGTAGCAGTGATCTTGTGACAGTGGGACTATACATAGATTTGGATACGTCTAGGAGTAGTAGTCATAATAAGTGTAATAGTATGAGTACGAGTGCGACAACTTAGTAGTATCAACAGTGATCGCAGCAGTACTACTACTAATACTTATTAGTCGTAATAGTAGTAGCTCCGTGCAGTGATTACAGTGAAAAAGAATAGCAACCGTAGCAAAGGTAAGTGTAGTAGTAGCAGTAGTAGTCGTGGTCGTAGTAGTAGCATTAGCGAAAGTAGTGATAATAATGCGACGGTAGACATGATAGTGCTAGTCGTTGTAATCAGACTACCACTCGAACTAGCAGTGATATTAGTAGTAGTCGTAGTAGTCGTACTACTACTGCGTGCTAGTAATAGTCATAGTAGAAGTACTAGTAGTAATAATAGTAGTAGCAGTAGTAGTAGTAATAGTAGCAGTAGTGGTAGTAGTAGTAGTAGTAGCAATAGTAGTCGTAGTAATAGTAGTACTGGTAGTAGTAGTGGTTGTAGTAGTAGTAGTAGTAGTAGTAGTAGTAGTAGTAGTAGTAGTAGTAGTAGTAGTAGTAGTAGTGGTGGTAGCAGTCGTAGTAGTCGTCGTCGTAGTAGTAGTCGTAGTCGTAGCCGTTGTCGTGGAAGGCGTAGTAGAAGTCGTAGTCGTAGTCGTAGTAGTAGTCGTAGTCGTCGTCGTAGTCGTAGTAGTAGTCGTCGTAGTCGTAGTCGTAGTCGTAGTCGTTGTAGCCGTAGTAGTAGTAGTAGTCGTAGTAATAATGATATTATCAGTAGTAGTTGTAGTAGAAGAAGTAGTAGTAGCAGTAGTCGTCGTCGTAGTAGTAGTAGTAGTGGTAGGAGTAGTAGTGGTAGTTATAGTCGTAGCAGTAGTAGTCGTAGTAGTCGTAGTAGTAGTAGTAGTAGTAGTAGTAGTAGTAGTAGTAGTAGTAGTAGTAGTGGTAGTAGTAGTAGTAGTAGCCGAAGTTGCAGTAATCGTAGTAGTAGTAGTAGTACTAGTAGTAGTGGTAGCAGTCGTTGTTATCGTAGTCGTAGTTTGGGTCGTCGTGGTAGCAAGAGTAGTAGTAGTAGTCGTCGTCGTCGTCGTCGTAGTAGTAGTAGTAGTCGTAGTGGTAGTAGTAGTGCGAGTAGCAGTAGTAGTAGTGGAGGTAGTACTAGTAGTAGTAGTAGAA